TTACTTTCCTAGATACAAACTGCCATGAGAACAAAGTTAGTAACGCTATACGAGTTTCTAATAATATTGGAACTCTCTAAAGATGTTACCTTATCTCGAATTCTGATTGTTTACAGTCATGAATAATACCCGTTTACTACTAAATAACTAGACATTCAAGGTGATAGTTGGAAAATGAATATCTATTCAACGACAGTTTATTTACAGTTTAACTGAGCATTTCAAATGTAAATCAGGAGTATTCAAATGTACGTCTTGACAAAGTGACAGATATGAAAATATTGTGTATTGTATGAACACATAAATTAACTATGCGCTGCTAATTTCACTACGTAACGTATGTGATAATACGACAATGGTTGCAAGACGAACAAAGTTATGTGATTAAATTATTACAGATATGATGAGACTCGTCACAAAGTAGGTGTAGTACCGGTTATTGGATGACCAATCAGACCTGTCTCTAATTGAGATCAAAAACACAAAATATTTAGTGATAGAACATCTTAATTTCATTTCATCCTATACTTACACTACGCATATACCACGGGGAGTGCTCTGAGGAATTGTTTGACCTGAAACCTGCCGCATCTTATCGCCATCGACCCTCACGACAGCATATGCATCCCCATCATATAGTAGATGATTGGCAGGCCACAACGGCGTGTTTTTTTCTGATATAAATATTTTACCTATATTCTGCCTTTAAACTGTCATACACCAAGCGGTCACCGGTGACCGCAACCTATTGTTCTATAATTGTGTCTACAAAACCGGTACTCGACGAGTTAAAATGAGATTGTTTTCTAAAAGGAATTTTATTTAAATTATAAACGGTTCGATTAAATAAAAATAAAAAAGTTAGTTGTCCGTATCTTTACTCTTAAGTGTAGATAGTTTTCAAAGGTTTCACATTCACATAACGTGTGTAGCATTGCTCAGTAAAGCGGGTGATGTCGTCTAATGAGATGTGAGCGTGTGTCCGTGTATACACAACGCATTTGTATCTACAAGTTTCTCCTGTGGGCACGACTTGTAGCAACGTACAACGTAGCTAGATAAAATGAGCCTGTAACACGATTTATCTTAAAGAGCGATTACTTTTAAACTGTCTTTTATAAGTAGTTTGGTGATGGGTGGCGTGTTCTTCATCCCTATAGCAGGGCATAAATCTATAGACGAGTTATTTTTTATGCATCAAATGTTCTTAGGGCGTTCCTTTTGCGAAAGTTTTCATTAGTAGTCTGAATGTGTTTCTTATATTCGCTAACGTATCTAGAACTAAATTGCTTTAACTCGTCGAGTACCGTCAATATAGACACAATTATAGAACAATAGGTTGCGGTCACCGGTGACCGCTTGGTGTTTGACAGTTTAAATGTGACATATCACGAAACGGTGTCGTAGTGGCCCGGAGGTTAAGACGCCCGCTGATCATGCATGAGGGTACCCTCATGCATGATCAGCGGGCGTCTTCGCGGGGTTCGAAACCTACTATCAGCAAGTACCAATGTGACTTTTTCCGAGTTAAATGTACTTTCTAAGATTATTTAGATACCACTCACAAAGGGTGACGGAAAACATCGTAAGGAAACCTGAACTTATAATTTCTAATCATAAGTTTGAAATCGCCAACCCGCACAAGCGTGGTGTCTAATGCTCAAACCTTCGTGTGAGAAGAGGCTTTGTTCAGCAGTGGGCACTTATAGGCTGTTTAATTAATGTTGGTATCATGAAATGTTTATTACACTTCTGTTGTCTTCTGTTAACCCCAAATGCCTAACACAGATGTTCTCATCTCACGCACTACCTTGATCATTTCGTGTACTAGAAAGATGCCATTCTTCTTCCATCCAACTCAAAGTACTTACGTGATCTATCATATTATTGCTATATTTTCGGGACCGAGGTCATTGTATTATATTGGGGTAAGAAATATGTGCTGGAGAGGGCCTAAGCTTGTTATGTAGCTTGCGACTTGGCTGTTAAGAAGATTATCGCCTTCATATTGAGAAGTTTTGAATTAAGACTGTTTAAGACCTTTTTGGAGACCCTTGACAGATTTGAAAAGGGTAACCTTCGTCTCTAACGTGTCTTCTTAACTGCATTTGTGTCCAACCTCTTTTTAATTGTGATTGATCTTTTTTTGCACCCATCCTTGTCGTAGTCGAATTAGTTTTTGGGATTTTAGTGTTCCTCACTTTTCTGTGTTGTTAGATATGTTTTTGTTCTTTTTTTAATATGTTGCTTAAGCTTTAAGTCTGGAAAATAAGCAAAGAGAAAATTCTTTACAGAAAAAAGGCTTTATGTTTGTACGAGTCATCGTACATTCTTTAAGAAATATTTAATAATTGTAACATTCGCAACTAATTGTGCAAGGCCGTAGGTATTGCTGACACTGTGACATTGTGACACACTTCGTCTATACTGTGAAGACCTTTATATCTAAGATAATTTGTATAATTTTTAGTGTTATTAAATCGCTCAATTGTGTCGGTGGTGTTTACATTTCCACTAACCCCTGAACCCACATCGGGATCATACCGACACCATACACCAACTACACACAACATCATATGTACGAGAGCATACAGCCCGTACAATGTTGTTACAACATAAGAGTGTTTCAAAATAAAACAAGATGTTCCAGAAACAGTGTCCTCCCGTACCGAAATATAACAATACATATTTCAGTATCTCTAAAAAGTCCTTTACATGAAAATCAGTTGGATTTATCGGCAAACTCTTTCTGTCATTTGCAGTGCCTGTTAGATTTGGGTCAATAAGCATAAAGCTGTCACGTGACTATCGAGGGTAGGCTGACACATCTGTCTATTGGGAAACGTGACCAACTGGTACAAATAGATTACAGTCGTTATTTTTTAAATGCTTGTATACAAACATAGTATACGTTGCGTTTTGCGAATGGTATAGGACACGTTTCTGGCATAACTCGTCCACTTCATCTACATTCATTAATCTTACCATTTTGGTGCTACCAATTTATCTTTTTTACGCGTCTTTTTTTTTTCGGGAGTAGCCCGCCATATCCGCTACAACTGATGTAAGGGAGGATCCATAGTAGATACAACCCTGAAAACACCGCAACACTGAAGTCAAGTCGCGTTCACTGCGTTCAGAGGATATGAATAACTGTCGCAAGAAATTAATCCGAAGTTATTATAAAAGGAGAAAAAAAAAACTATAGTTGATCCATGATAATGTTCAGATAACTTAAACGAATAGTTTCTTCAATATAACACATTTAATTTAATACAATAATAATATTCCATTCACAACTATGACGTCATCCCCTTCTTTATCTACTTCAGAAAACGCGACCAACTAGAAACCTGAATTGCCTAAAAATAAACTGACCGGGGATCTAGACCCAACTCAAGCCAGCCAGAACAAACTAGATCTCCCTAGAAAAACAAAAAGTTTGATTAGATCCAACTATAAACTGCCTCAATGTAGTTCTTTACTGGTATGATCTCAACGTCACCTTGAGATCTGATCACCGATATTACCTAATCGATCTATGAATGCTAATATCCATTTTCAATGATGTTTACATGGAACAAAAAGTATTCGGAATTTATCTGTTGTTGCTGTTTGTGATAAATTATGAATGTACTGATTTTAATATTACTCGTATGTTGCTGGGGTTAAGTATCCGAATTTTTCAATGCTCAGTTAATTCTTAACTGAGGCCTTAGTACGAGTTTGATTTAATGGCGCCGGCCAATCAGAGTGCCGAACGAAAAGAAAATCGTACTAAGGCCTCAGATTGGTCGGTTCGAATGAAACAACCAATCAGACCGCCGAACGCGTACTCGATTCGAATACTTTTAACATAAAACAAACTCGTACTAAGGCTTCTGTAGAATAAAATTGACAGAAATTGTACAGATTTTCGTATGGAAGAAAGTCAAATATTCAAAATTATTTTCACTTCTTCTCACATACAATTTATCTGGCGTTGGAAGAATCGGCCCTAATACTATAAAACTAGTCCCTAATTAGATACTACGATGATTTTCTAACCTACCCTATTCTTACGATGCAGTATTGTGATGGTAGTATCTGACACCCGTAATCAAAGTGCGTGGACGGGATCAAACAAACGAAATAATAATTAAAGAGCCTTAAACCTTAGTTCATCAATTAAGAAATAATATTTATACATTCAAGTAATGTACTCATTTGAGAACTTGGTACTTACGTGTGCGTGAACAACAATTTTGTGCAAACACAGTGGCGTCCATGATGTACTTGTCCGGCCATTAGCAAAATGTTTGCATTGAATCAAGTCAATCACGATCACGCTTGTACGAATTACTGTATACCTATAGGTAATTTTGACAAGGGAATTTTAATTTTAATTACTTGTTTGGTTCCTATTTTCCTAATACCTCTTTCTGCATACAAATAGTGCTAGGTATAGTAAAATCGGTTATCTGTAATAAGGGAGCTGGTTGACACTTTCTTTTATATCATGTTTGGTTCATTCTAAAGTTGACTTTTGGACAATACCGGTTATTATATAAATTGTAGGCTGTGGAATTTTCAGTGTATTTAATATTCACACCCCTACCTCATACTCTTAAATATTTGTTTATTCGGCGGATATCGGTAGTTGAAAACTATACAGTTACAGAAATACAATGAATTCTTAACAATGCAGAATGTTTATTGTTTAATCAACGTACAAGTATTTTATAACTATTCAAGTATTAACAAGCTGACCTACAGTGATAAATAGCAATAAGAAAATATGTTTTTATAATAACTATCGTGAGACATACTAAATTAACTAATAATCGCGGGTTACGTGAATGTACTGAGAAAAGCTCTACTAGTTTCGAATCATAGAGGGGTACTTACTCGATGCGATGTCGCGCAGCCTACTGACAAAATAATACGTTCTTCAGTCGGTCTGAAATAAATGAATTATTATTATTTCAGTTTTCTATACAGTTCTACCTCTCCTGTTACAGGTCTAAAGTACCTGCATTCAGCACGTATTCTTCACCGAGACATCAAACCTGGAAACTTATTGGTGAACAGTAATTGCGTGCTGAAAATATGCGACTTCGGGCTGGCGAGGGTCGAGGAACCAGATGCCAGCAAAAATATGACACAAGAAGTTGTTACACAATATTACAGGTATGTTCATAAAAATATATTTTATTCTAATTTAAGATGTATAGGAAATATATAAGCTTCCGTAGGATTCTAAACGAGACATAATAATAGCTACCGATCTGCGACTCCTACCGCATGGAACTTAAATATTTCGATTCTGTAGGAATGTTGTAATGAAGTGTCCTATGTTGCTATTTGGAGAGAGGTCGTGCTGTTTCCGACCGTATTCAAATTTTCTCTTCAAATAATCAAATATTTTTTCTTTTTATAATATTAAAGAAGACTAACTACACTCATCAAAACTTCACAAGAAACGGAATCTCATTAAAATTACGAATGTTAAAAGAAATTAGTTTCTCTTTTTGTCATTAAACCAATTTAATGGTCAAAGAACTACACTACGGAAAATTAAAAATTCACAGACACATAAATTACCTCGACTTTGGGCTCCTGCGAGTGTGAAAGTACTTGGAAATTTCAATTAAGTTTCCCGGATGTTATCCAGACAACTTGACTAATTAGTTTCATCTTATAACACATACTCAGAACTCGGGATCAAGGTTTACTTAATTACAATTTGAGCTCTATTTTATTGGAACATTATAGTCGTATTTTTGGCATATCCAGGTATTTCACCTATCATCAATTTAATTGCTCAGCTAATGCCCGTTTTCAACAAAGATCTTTAAATCAAACATCTCGTAAGAGTTACTTAGCGTGACGCACCTAAAATAACCCCTTACTTTTACTTTTAGCTGTTACTTATATATTGGTGAATACAAAAATGTCCCTAAGTGTCTCTTAGTTTAGAGGTTCCTTAAACTGTCAAACACCAAGCGGTCACTGGTGACCGCAACCTATTGTTCTATAATTGTGTCTACAAAACCGGTACTCGACGAGTTAATGATTAGTTTGTAAAAACAGGATAACTGGTTTTTGTGCCCGACTCTAGTTTTTGTTCTGACGTCTATCTGCAAGTCGGGCCTCCTAACAAAATGGGACCTTAGAGAAGACACTTCACAAGCAAGGATATCGATCAAGGGGTCTCCGTTTCTCTTGTTTAGTACAACAAAGCACAATTGGACATTAAGATTTTCTCAATTCTTCGTAATACCATATATTTATATGTGCACCTCTGCCTCCCCTTCGGAGATAAAAGGCGTGATGTTATGTTATGTTGTACCTCAAATACCACCTGAAATGTTTCAAAAGTTGTTCCCATCCATAAATATTAATACTATTTTTAGTCAAAACGTAACTTGAGTAAGGTAATTCGTTGCTAATATTTGGACTAGATAAGTGTGAGCAAGAGTCACTGTCATTAGTACGCTTCTGTCTTGGCCGTGACGTGGAATGGGGACAGTGTTCAGGGTTACCTACACAATTATTTGTGTATTTTTTATATTTTTACTTTTCAAGTTCATTTGTGTGTTGTTTGTATTAGAATCAGTAGAGGTTTTACTTAGTTTATGGCATTTTGTCCTAGTCTAGCATTTTTTTTGTGCTGTGGGTGCGTTTAGAAATTCAAACATCACGCCCACACGCGTATTGCAATTACTGTGTCAATTGTGTAGTTAAAATTGCAAATATGGACAACAATTAACTTGTTGAGTACCGTCATTATAGACACAATTATAGAACAATATATAGGTTGCGGTCACCGGTGACCCCTTGGTGTTTGACAGTTTAACTCGTTGAGTACCGTCATTATAGACACAATAGGGTAGACGACTAATTTTTATTTTAATGTCCGTCTTGTAGATTATTTAAAAACATTAAACACGTATTTTTTATTTTCTTACGGAAACGAATAGTTTCGAAGATATGTTGATTTGAAATGTCGCGTGACGTCACTTCTCAGTACATTTTATACTAAGAAATGACGTTTTAGCCCCCACTCCTAAACTTTGATTCGTTTTATCCAAGTATTGTTTTATTATACGACAAAATAAAAAAATACGTGTTTAATAGTTTTTCATAACCTAACTGACGGAGTAATTAGATTTTTAATTTTCATACCCTGTCGTCATCCCCATTATAGAACAATATATAGGTTGCGGTCACCGGTGACCCCTTGGTGTTTGACAGTTTAACTCGTTGAGTACCGTCATTATAGACACAATTAAAGAACAATAGGTTGCAGTCACCGGTGTCCGCTTGGTGTTTGACAGTTTAAATTAGGTAATAAAACAAGTTTCCACTCACGAAAGTTCTAAGTACGTTTCAAGTATGGTCCGTTTTCGTCTTATCACCTCTTTTACCGTTAAGCACTTCAGTCCGATCTCACTTAAAATAAAACGTCAAACACGTTAATAAAAGGATTTGGACGAGTTTCTCCTTCCAAGAAAGACTATTATTCTTTTCCGGCTTTTCATCTTTTATTTGTTCAAATATATTAAATCGTCCGAGATTAAGTAGTGCGTTTGTAGATAAATAAGGAAAATCCGTAAAGAATAGGTATTTTTATTATCATGTATTCGTGACTTATTATTTCTTGGAAATAGTAACTTATTACTGTGTACGACTGACTGTACGAGTGAATATTCTAAAGTTCACTTGTACGGTGTATAGGATAAAAACAAATTTAAAACCTAAAATCATTTGGGATATCTAAAAGGCAAATTTATGTGTATTTGTGAAGGTTTCTGTTAGATTTTGTTGGTTTAGGACACAATTTTCTTGGAACTATAAAGTTGCCAAATATATCGTATAGCACGTATTTTATCTGTAAATAAAGTTTGGATTTTATTTCTTCCGAATAGCGTACACAGGTTGGTTCGGCGGTATTCTCGCGAAGTGTTTGCAACGTGCGGCGAACCGTTTCGTTGGTGTTGAATGAATAAAAAGTGAATGAATGAGTGACCTGTGCTCTGTTGACCGCAGTTTTGAAAGTAGGACGCCGCGCTAACCGCGTTTGTGTCCAAAACATCAGTGCGCGGTGGTTTTGTCAAAATAGTTCGCTTGTATTTTGCTTGCCTTAGTTCCTGAAGTCGCCTTCATTGCACACATTTCCTGTGCTCACAAAATACCCATCATATTCTCCCCAACACAAAGGGTACACATATAACCTTGTCTAAATGAATACCCTGTGGAATCTCCCCATGTTGTGTTTTGTTTCGTTGGAGCTTATCAAACGAATGCGGTTCCCACCGCATGCAAATGAACACAAACCAAATATACTGAAATATGTAAATTGCTATATATCCAACATCTTTTATACACATACAGTTTGTTTGTCACGTTTCAGGGGACGGATTAAATTTTAAATTGGAAATTGTTTAGCTTTATTGAAAGTGCATAAAGTAGATTCAAATGAAATATTTTTGAACAGTTTGTTCTATTATCTGTTCTGTTTAGTTTATTATAAATGTGGTTTTCTCGGGAAATTGTCCTCTTTATTACTGTGTTAGTAGCTTGGAACAAAGTTACGGCGACACGTCCACGTGCCCAAGGGATTTCTTTGCAGAGTCAGCTTACCAACTAGGTTCGTTGAGAAAACTCTGCATTTTCCTAGACTGGGTTGATTAAACTTCATAATCTGATATCCACTCACTTCAAATATTTTATTTATTTTAAGGAGTAATGTCACATCACAAACATATAACATTTAAAATACACAAAAGTAACAAAATAAAGGTCCAATGCATGCGACAATAATGGCCTACATAGCATTTGCAATTCATAGGCTTAACAATGGCTTAAAAATAGAATCCAATTTGTGAATTATGGAAATAGAATTGCTTTGCTCAGATTTTAATTATCCAAGCGTAAATACGTCATGCGTATTTCTGCAATTATGAATCGTAGATCAATAAATCTCAAAAATATTAAATTGAGTTTCAAAAGTAATAATAACAAAATTTATTAGTCACCATTTCAATATTAGACTCTATTCAAAATATTCTTAAACGTTATTTTTGTTTGCACCGTAATATGGGCGACACGAATAGAAGGGGCACGGGGTCAGGCAGCTGTTCTGAGAAATAAATATAATCTATTGTTTCATATACTAAATTAAATAATAATAATGATAATAACGTGAACGATGACAAGGAACAGGTCTCCCACCTCTGGCTTGCCTTCATTGGCCGTCCAGAGTGGAGTCGCGAGAGCAGTGATCCTGCTCGGAGGGTAAGAAACTATTCGTAAGTCGCGAGTGGGCCAGGGATGCAGGAGGCTTCGGCTGGAGCAGATGATCTGAGTAGAAAGCGGTGGTAGTTTCTTAACCCTTCAGCCACTCACATTCTCGTTGCCCCTTTGTTGCTATATCTAGCAACCATTCCTGGGGCCCGGTCGGTGAGTTGGCGAGTCTCCGCCTGCCATTTTTACGTGTAAAAATTACATTGTTTCGGCAGGTGCCATAGTCATCCATAGTTCCCAATTTACCAGTCCACAGCAACCCATCCATAGCCCTACCTTTTTTTCCATTATTCACAATAGTTCTACACTAACCGGGGACTGTCCTTGGGTGCATTTTCATAGTGCATACAGGGATAGTCGCCGGTTTGTGTGTCCATTACATTTAGATTAAAGTTGTCTAAAGGGCCTCTGCGCAGTTGGCTTCGGCCCCTCGCACGCCTCCCAAATGACCGGGACCCTGTGGTCCCGTGAATGGTAAAGACATACATAATGATAATAATTTAAGCGACTGCTAAAAATTGTTTGGTCCAAGCTTATTTTAACATTTTCCTTTAAATTATTTGTTTATCAACCATCCCAATTTTTTTGTTAAGAACGGATTAATGTGGATTAAGAGCAATTAATGTACTAAAATCGAGGGATTATGCGAAATACGGATAATAAACAATATAGAAAGCTTTTTTGTATATTATAAAACAGTGATTTCTTCTAAAGACGTTGTTGTTTAGCGAACTTAATTAACTAAATAATAAGTAAAAACACCTTGCCATCTACCATATTGCAGTAGTAATAGTTTTTGCATTAATGACCTCACCTTAAATGTTATTAAATAAGAAACTAGTTCATGAAGATTGCGTTCTCAATTCCAGAGCACCGGAGATCCTGATGGGCGCGAACCATTACACAGCGGCGGTGGACGTCTGGTCCGTCGGCTGTATATTCGGGGAGCTGCTCGGCAGGAGGATCCTGTTCCAAGCCCAGAGCCCTGTACAACAGGTACGTGATAGATATAAGACCTAATGTAGCAACTACTAGTTGTCCAAATTATAAATAAATAGCTAGCTAGCTTTGAAAACAATACTCGATGAGGGGCTACTGTACATTTGCACTATTGTGATACCCTTGTTTGACGTTCAATAGGGAATTAGATAGTGTCCCACTGTTAGACGACAGGTGCAGTGATTGCATAAAAAAGCCTTTTCCTACATTTACGCCATCTGCAGGTCAAAAAGTAAGGGCAGCATTAAATGCCCTCTTAAACGATTATACAGTTCCTCAGGAATCGTACTATTTATTTGTAAAAACCGTACGGGACAGAAACAGAGATGTTTGAGACGTCTCGTTCCTCTCGGGGACTTAGAGATTAGGGAATATCTTGAACTTTTCCTTGATTTTTTGTAATATTTTTTTATAACTGAATATTTCTGTTAAGATAAGTCATTTCTGTTCATCTCTAAAAATAATCCTAGCGAAACCATCTGACAATATAAACCACCGCCAATCTCTTTGAGGAAAACTTAAAAGAGAATGATTTCAATTCAATTCATATTACTTAAAATTAAGTTAATCACTGTTTTCTTTTAACGGAGTACAAGAAAAGAAATAACTTTCAAAGAAAAGGATTTATTTAAAACTTCACCCAGCACGTGATTCTTTTAATGTAATTCACGTTTTAGAAGAAATAACACCAGCTATGAGGTTTCTTTAACTTACTTGTAAACAATGAAACTACGGGTTTACTGCTAAAATGAACGTAGGAGTTATGAAATAAACGGGTACTGGGAATTTCTTATCCACGGGCTTAACTTTGATTTGTTTGGGGTTAGGATTCTTTTGTTTCTGAAAAATAAATCGTGTCGCATTAAACTTAGCGTCCAATTTTCACCAGAAACCAAATAGTTTGAAGTAAAAGAAACGAATACGCATTTTGCGCTCTGATTGGCCGGCTCTAATCAATCAACCAATCAGAACGACGAACTCGGTCTCGTTTCGTACTAAGCCCTCAGTTGTGTAAATAGAGCGACAAAGAAATACACAAGTAATCATGTTTCTTATTCTCCTGCCGATCTTCACCTTCAACTTTTTAAATATAACCTCACGCAGCATTCTACTTCATCATCAACCTTTCTCTAATTAGTGCCCTGCGTCCACCGGCTTCTTACGACCGTTATCAGCTGGCTTGTTCTTGAATCCAATTCCGATCGATCGAGATTGATATTGTGATATTTCGTACTCTTGAACACTAGCGCCAGTATTGAGTTTAGCTTTATATTCCATACTCTGAATGATAGATAGCATTCATTTAACAGCTACGATTGGGGTTGTATACTGTTGGCATTAAATAAAGATTGAGTGAAAAATATTAAAAGATTAGTTTCAAGAGCAAGCGAGGAAGTTGGATTCTGCTCACCTTTAATAAAACGTTGTACATGTAACATTCCAGCTGGAGTTAATCACGGAGCTGCTCGGCACGCCGTCCCTGGAGGACATGCGGCACGCGTGCGCGGGTGCGCGCGCCCACATGTTGCGGCGCGCGCCGCGCCCGCCCGCGCTCGCCGCGCTCTACACGCTCTCCGTGCAGGCCACGCACGAGGCCGTGCATCTACTCGCACAGGTACATACTCTCTGCTCTTCTGGAACTAGTAGAACGGTGCACTACGTCATCGACCAATACCATACGACTCCGCGACGCAACATAATGCGATGCCATTTGGTAGGGCACAGCAAGCGTATGACATTAGTCGTAAAGTAAGACACCCCATTAATGTACTTAATTCAGCTTTGAACTTGTTATGATCCTAATGGACACGGTACAGAATTTCTGACTTTATTGGTTTTTTAATAAAGTCGTAAATCTATTGCATGACAAATATTTCTGGGGGAATGCAACCGGTAAAGAAATGGTATTCAAGTGTCAAAAAAGATGCATTAGGGCTATTTGTAATCTGCAGTCTACCGACAGCTGCTACACTTTCTTTAAAGACCTCAAAATTTTGACGGTCCCCTCATTATACATCTATGAAACTGGTACGTTCGTCAAAAACAATTTTAATAATTTTGACCGAGTAACCAGTCAACGTCGTTGTGACCAGTTACACTTATTAAAATCTAGAACTGCACTGTACAGGAACAGTATCTTTGCAATGGCTCCAAAAATTTATAATAAACTGCCTAAATATATAAGAAACGAAAATAATATTAGACTTTTTAAACGAAAACTGACATTATTTTTAATTGACAAGACATATTATTCTATTGACCTATTTCTAAATGATAAATTTTGACATACTATCACGATTCTTATAGACTTGTTTAATTTAAATATATTAATAATGCTTGGTACCTGCCTAACTTAATAACTATTTGTACACCAATTTTATTGGTAGAACATAGATATGCTATTAATGTATGTTAAACAACCTTCTGTATAACCTGTGTTCACAAATAAATTGATTTGATTTGATTTGATTTGATTTGATATTATATTATCAAACGGCTAATTACCTGTTTTTACCATCGCCAGATGCTAGTATTCGACCCGATGAAGCGTATATCGGTGGTTGACGCCCTGGCGCACCCGTACCTGGAGGAGGGCCGGCTCCGCTACCACTCGTGTATGTGCAAGTGCTGCTACAGCGCGCCGCCGGCCGCGCGGCACTACTCGCCCGACCTGGAGCCCGCCGCGCCGCACGCCTTCCACGACGCCTGGGAGCGCAAGCTCACCTCCGTGCACCAGGTCAAAGGTACCAACCAACTGCACATCGTCACGTACCGAGTTTTGTTTTTCATACGGCAAAACTGGGTGAATAGGAATCGCGATGTGAAGAATTTCCCAATATCTACTTACTCCTCTTCTGCCTCTATTTACCTCTCAATTCCTATTTACCCCGTTTTATAGAACTTTAAAGGTTCAGATCACCGTTTTGGTCACTAACTCGCCTGATGGTGAAAAACGTTGTTGTATTCTTGTTACATCTGTAGTGCATCGGATGCCGGAGGCTAAACGCATTATTGTAAAGTATCATAATGATTTTTCGATCCTCTAGTACTTTTTGTATTTTCGTCTCATAACCTGGCATTGTCTCAGGAGATCTAGAAAGAATTATAGAACTGATTAGTTATATATTAATTTCATAAGTGTGGCTTACAAAACGTATCGTAAGCGCGAGGACTTTTTTGATACTTCTTTTTTATACCACGACTGTGGCAAAAAAGCACAAGGCCCATTTCTTGATCATTTTACTATCATTTGACATATGGCTAAGATACGTTTCATTTGCGAAGTAGTATATTATAACCACACCAAAATCCCTTCTAATTGTACTACAAACAAATGTTTCAGAGGAGATACACAAGTTCATAGCAGAACAGCTGCAAACGTCGAGGGTCCCGCTCTGCATCAACCCGCAGTCCGCGGCGTTCAAGAGCTTCGCAAGGTAAGGCGCCGCCAACATCAACCGCAACCAACCGCAACCAACCGACACTAGGTGATTTCTTTGCGATACGTAACCTAACACGCCTTAGTGACCACCCGCACCCCTATGAGCCACGCCCATACATTCCTACCATACGTGCTGACAACACTGTACTATAGAACTAGAGACTAACTAAGAAATCTTTGTTAAGTATCTCGTTGAAGCGTCATTTTAGTGTGTCAAGTCTAAAATACTGCTTTATTCTTTCTAGTACCTATATTGTTCGTTTTATACGATTAAAGTAATGAACCTACAAAATAATTTCGTAATGAGGTATAAAGCGTTTCCAGTGTTGTCTCCACGGCAGACGATGTTTACGATAATAAACCAGAGAAAGCAAACAGTCATCACAACTGAGTGTGGCACGGTGCGAGTTTGTTAGTGAGCAATAGCACGTGTGTCGTGTACTGTCATACATTCATACATTCTGTATATATAGCGCAGTGCGAGGCAGGCGTACTCCCCGCGCACGACTTGCCTTACTGTTGTTCCCACGTTAGTTCCCCGCGCTGCCAGCGCCCTCTGTACACTTCCGAGCATATCAACCCTCTTGAAATGGTGTCATCCCGCTTCAAGCACCGCTGTTCACCCGTACGGTAGTTTTAATTCTGCTTTTTTGTGTGTTTTGCGACAGCTCTAGGGCGGGTTCGAAAGCAAAAGTTTGTTCCCCTTTCAAGACGGCGGCAAAATATCTACTGCTATCGCCCGTGATATTTCTGTGCGCTGCGTAGGAGCCCCGTAGCCCCGTAAGCGTCCGCACGCATGGTCCGACCCTCGACGGCAACACTTGCTCGATACTGCTACTAGTGTTGTTGCCGGCGACCGTCGTCTACTTTCAAAAGGGTTGATCGTTAGATAGTGCTCGCTCCGTCCTTACGGTTCGGTTGCAGTGCATGCGTTTGTAAGGCTTTGTACTCGAGTTTGGTGTCATTATTCAAGCGATGCCATTACAAAAATTAAGTTAAGCATGGAAGCCAATACAATGATTGATTTTTAAGCTACAACACGATTTAAAATTACAGATTGAATTCAAATTAAGAATCTTTTTCACTTACATGTCTACAGACCGAACTCAAGTACAAGTCTATAATTGACTTCTTCAAAATCGACAAAAAACACTAGTATCGATTTTGAAGAAATACAGTACCTATGGTTGAATTTGATTTTGTACGATTTAGTTGGGTTTCGGAAACTCTAGCAGAAGCGATGTTTCTTTAAATATGAACTTTATTACAGTGAAGTAAAGTTGATATTCAAGGGATGAGTTTCCGTTAAGGTTGCCTCGTAGTGCATGCGTAGAATGAGAGGTGCACTGTGCCAAGGTTGTGGTGATTTTCATTAATTTTTCAGTAGTTATTGTAGAGTTGGATTTGTGATGCAGTTTTGCTATAAAATTTCTCTTTTATTATCATAGATTTTGTTCAGACAAATGATTAAATTGCATGTTGTTTTGTGTGTTGGACTCATGACTGCTGATCAGGATAATAAAATATTGCGATATTGTCACATGACGATTCTAATTATACTCTGGACGATATTGTTAAGCGTTTTGTTCACTTCTAAACATGTTAAACACTTGTTCTTTTTTTTGGATTAAAGTAAAAAGGAAGTACAACAACTATAAAACAAATATTACAATTAAAAATTAAAACATCAATGAAAGTCAGACAGTAGGTCGTAGAGTCCAGTAGACAAGCAAGTGGCGTGGGTGTGGGTTTGTATGTCGGCCCTACTAACGCCGTGTCCTCAGCTCCACAGTGGCGCACGCGTCCGAGCTCCCTCCCTCGCCGCATCACTGGGAATGACACAAGCGACGCGGTCTCAACCATCTACTATAGCAAAACTCGACTCTAATCACAACGCAATAACGTCGACTATGGATCAACAATCGGCGATCGACCTCATTCGGGCGATTCTACACCCTAACACCGCAGCGCTAGGTCGCTTCTCGACTGTCACCGTCAACGTCAAAACGACTTAACTCATATGGTCGTCAGAAGCGATATTTGATTTTAAAAACCACTATGTAAAGTCGATTTTAGACTGCAATGATGGTGAACTCGTATGATTGTTCCACAAGCCAAGGTTCAATGACCTTTATCACACAAGTATGCATAAGTTTTGGTTTTTAAAACGTAATCCGCTTTAAATATACATTGTAATTAGGTAATAGGTAATTGAATATATGACATAATGATGATTTGGTATAAAATGAATTGTTTTAAAATCTAAATACTGTGTACTGAGTATCTGTTGCAAATTATTCTTGGCGAATATACGAAATTGATGTATCCAATCAACATACGAGTTCGCCAGAACAGTTAAATGTAAACTGGGATTTGAACTCTAGACATGAACACAAACTGTACAGTCAATAATCCACCTTTATTCTTTAGAAACAGAGTTCAAATGCCAGTAGCAGTCTACATGTCACGTAAATCGTTCCCAAAAATGTTATTTTGCTTTTATTTTGACTTTAAAAAAAAATTGAATTGTATAAATACCGCACCATACCTCATTGCTGTAACTAGGACGCGTTAAAACTTACAAACATTGTATTATTAATACATAATTATTATGTATGTAAAATTTGTGGACACTTCCATAGATAATGCTATTGGGTAGACTCTAGGAACGCGAAATAATTAGTTGTATAGAAAATATGGACAACCAAGTGACAAAACGGGCTTTATATTCTACAATAAGGTAGGTTGCCTACCGATTTTAGTAAAAAATATAGTATTTTATAGAAACCTGTCATCTACCCAATTGGAAAACGTGCATTTGAATGGGGGCTACCGATGGCGCTAATCTAGTTAGAAAAACAGTCTATCCAATCACCATAGCTGTCAAAAATTGAACGACCAATGGAGTGACACTAAATAATTCTCTATTGGTCGAAAGGAAGCGTCATAAGGTGAGCAAAAAAAACGGTAGTCCCTTTGACCGCGAGCGCGCAGTTGTTGGGTAAAATAATGCGACGCGATGTCACTACGTAATACTTAGGTCATCTGATGTGTGTAGCCAGTAGAGCCATGTGTGTAGACTAGTGTACGGAGCTGGTGAACTGGCAATATGGAAGATATAGACAAGGGAAAGGATAATGTTGTTCGCAACACTATTTTATACAACGAAACGTGTCGCCCTAGCGACAGAACGTAGATAGGAAAGAGGAGAAATGTATAAAGAGACAAATTGATGGCAAGGAGTGGAAAATGATGGGAGGCAGGCAGGTCAACGACCCCCGCCTCGGACAGTATATACAGTAAAGAGTCGCTTCGCGTAGTACTAGGTTATGTTTCATTGAACTCCGCGATTCCATGTAATTGTAAGTGTGACGTAGTGTCAATGTGTGCCTGATTGTGTTTCTACGGACGTTGCAAGTTGCGAGCAATAAATGTTGCAATACTATATAACGCGTTACGACATTTAATTTTATATTACTATCGATTGATTTATTCTATGTGTTTCTTTTAATCTCCTTTGTAGGCCGTCTACGCACGACAGTTTCATACTTAATTCAGATTTCAGTTGTGTGCCAACAAGAATCTCTTTCAAACTATCGTGTGTAGCCGACCTATTGTGTATACTAAGCTTAATCCTAAACACCATTGTATGTAACATCGACTGAACATTTTTACGTAGTTAGGTTAGAATAGTGATAGATATTATATTACAACTAATTTACTCGGCGTTTATAAATAATACAATAAAAATATAATGTACGAATGAGGTTCACATACTATCATTGCAGTAGTGAGATATTTTATAGCAGTGTTTGTAAATGTATTTCAAGCATTTAATAGATATATTAGAGGTTTGACATTATTGTACTGAATTGAATGTGTTAGTGTGCGTGAATATTACGTCGTTTTTGTCTAATTATTGGCATTGGTAACCTTAAATGTGTACTACAAGTGGAAGTGTAACCATACATTGTCATCACACGAAGGAAAACACTATAATTAGTCTAAAACAACTCTTAACACACAGGCAATAAAACACAATTTGTCTTAATACAACGTATGAGTACACTTCTACCTCGTATCATTCAAAATTGATGTTTCCATTTAAGTTGTAAGTATGTATGTACTATGTAGTTGTACTACAATCACGCTGCTAACATATATAGCATAGACAGACTTCGTGTGAATGTCGCCAGACGTCGTAGCCTTATAACTAGTTCAAAACTATATAAAAGATAAAACAAAAAAACTTTGTAAATAAATGCATAGTATTAATGTTAGGCTAGTTTGGTATGGGATGTATTCCGATGTAGCAAGCCCACAACTAGTAGGTTTGTCTTACAGACCGCTGCACGACATATACACGATTATTTTCAACAAAAGTTTTAAAATCAGTCACATACGTATCAAATTAGTAAATCAATGCTGTTTCTGTAATATCAAATTAGCTATTTGGACAGATTAATAAAAAGTTTAATTCTAGTTGTAGCCATATCGAGCAGCGGTTTGAATAAGACCTCGATGGTACAAAGGAGGTGCTTGCAATTGCAGGTTTTAGCTGCCACACACACTATGAACTGTATTTGGGTTTATGGAACTTGTAAAAAAAATTAACTGAATCTTTGTATTGCCCCCTTGTGATGTGTCAAAATTATAATGTGGAATATCTATTATGAAAATCTGTCCTGTCGTTCTCGGGTCAAATGAATAATAAAGTTGTATTGTCGGCTTAGTGTGTGGCAGCTAGAACCTCGCTCGAGCCTCGACGGACCCACCTTGCCTTATCTCAGATAACTGTCACTGTGATCCGTTTACGCGTAGTTTTTGGAGCCCCGCACCCCTCACCCCGCACTATGTGTACTGTACATACGAGTGGTCGTTAGCTAATTATCATCATTGGTTTATTAGAAATTTGCTTAATTATATAACTGCTGTATAGGTATATGTGTCCTCCGGTCTAGTTGATTGTATATAAATAAGGTTAATAAGTAGGTGAATATTGTCTCAGTAGTTGCGGAGTGGATGAAATTGTATCACTCACTGTAAATGGAAAATTGATGTGGAAATTTAGTATTTGATTAATGAAATCTGAGGAGATAGTGTGTGCACATTTGATCCACAATCTGCGACTTGTGGCCGTGACGGAGGACGTGGTCGTGGTCGTGCGACGGACAGTATTGCGGCGCCTAAACGAACACGCTTCTTATTTTATGTAATTGTACGTATTGCGTTTCCAGACTTTCAGAGATCTCGTATTATTTTAAGTTTTAAGTACACGACTGTTCATTTACACAAGTGATCTTTAGTTGGTAGGACAACACGTTTGTATTCTTCTTTGTACCCTGCGGCCAGTCAGCCAAGGCTTTCTCTTAATTTTAGTGATCGCACACTCGAATGCGCCCGCGCACGCGGACGTCTTCGCAATATCTTTACGTTTCGTGTAAATACTAGTGGTAAAGCGGTAAGACTTAGTTTTCGTGTTAACATTAGATCGCGTCATTCTTAGTTTGTGTTCAATAATCCCACATTAATTTTGTATTATAATAATTTCCACAATATATAAAAAAGTAAAAAAAAAAAATACAAAATATGAAAATGATTTGTATCCTTCGTTTTATGATTATGACATTTGATTTAATTACTATTATTACCAGTCGTAATGTAAATAGTACTTTGTGCACTGATAGTCTCGTTTAAGTTAACTTTAGATTTAATGAAATGGCTGTATTGATTCTCTTTATGTATAGCCCAAACAACGTTCACTATAAGACTTAGTAGAAATGTTTCCTTTGCGGTATTGTCCCTTAACAATGTGTAATGTATAGTTATGGTTTTAGTTAACATTTAGTATTGTGATTTAGTTTGTTTATTCAGCGACCCAGAGACAATGTAAATGTAAATATATGATACGTGTTTCTGTCCTGTATGGAGTTAGTTGCATTTTACCATTGTTGCGAACTGCCAAAACTATTGTAATAATTTTGTAGCGTCGTACGTCACTGAGCACATCGTACACACCGTCGAATGAGAGCGATGGAAATTTTGATCCAAGTACTTTCATTTTACGTAATTATTATTATTGTACTTTAGTAATTTGTGTTTTGTATTTGCTCAAATTGCTATAAATATCGCCTGTTAATGTAAATCAGAATTTCTGTCAGTTCTATGTTCTGTTTAGTACAGTATTTGTATTTCGTATGTAATTAGAATGTGATGCTCTGTGGTGAGTGGCGTACGCGCTGGTAGTGAGCCGGGGTAGCGACGGACGCCCGGCTCGCGACACTGTAACAATAAACTACTGCATAATTATGCCCATGACTTTTATTTCACACTTAAATTAGGATAATATTCCTAATTCCTATTATAAAGCCCATATTTCTTTCATCGTAGATAGAAAAGGTGTGCCTACAGACCCTACAGTTGCCCACTACTGAACTATGGACCTCCTCTGTCCGTATAAGAGCGTTTATCATAATTTCCCCACTTAACAAACAGGTTGAAGTTTGCCATTTAGCAAGATCACATTTATCAGAGAGCTGTCCAGTCCCCGAGTCAGTTCTTATGAAACCTATACGGTCTATATAATTCTTCAAAATGGTTCACTGGCAGAAGCTAGACCTATAATTGGTGAAAACCGCTGACCTTGTCAATTCAGCATGCCAAGATAATAACTATTACGGAAGCATTACGAACGTTCAGGTCAAATAGATATCAAAAAGGTCAAGAGCAAATTCTAACATAGTGCCTACTATTTCATAACGTATATCCCTCCTTTTCAAAATATTATCCTCGAAGGTGTAAGTAGACGTGGACAATGTGAACGCACTTAATACCCATTTTTTGTTATTTATGAGTGCCTTCCTAAGATTTATTCCTTATTTAACTTGTCAAGTACCGTCATTATAGACACAATTATAGAACAATAGGTTGCGGTCACCGGTGACCGCTTGGTGTTTGACAGTTTAAGCCACCACTGACAAACAGTGAAACCAAACATCGCGAGGAAATCTGGGCATATAATTTCTAATTAGAAGTTATAAATCGCTAACCTGCATAGAGCAAGCGTGGTGATTGATGCTCAAACCTCCGTGTGAGAAGATTATTTTGGTCATTGACCACTTTTAGGCTGGTGATGTTGATGTGTTAAGAGTATCATGTAGTTGCGGTTGTACTGTTTCAGGGTGGAGCACACGTCGTCACTCTGTACGGCCAACTCCGTTCAGTGCATGTCACTGCGCATACTGGCCCTGGGAACAACAAGTGGAAATATTATCGTGCTTATATTTAGTACATTTTGCATCATCGTAGGTGCATTGTAAGTTGCAATCTTAAATAAATTAGTTTTAGCTAAAAAAAATATGTTGGATGCTGATACCCTAGTAGGTCTTTCAGAGAGAGCGTCTAGAGTCTAGTCTAGTTGCTTTACATGCTCTAGAGTCTAGACTCTTGATTGTTTTGGACCTAGAGTATAGACTCTAGACTCTAGAGCGTGAAGTAATTTTACCTGCGTTTTTAGGTAGGTTATTAATTTAACAGTTAGCAGGAATCCTTCGAAGATCAACCTAGATTTAGGATTAGGTTACGATTTCCTGTAACTATAATATTTACTAATTTAACCAGTTCAATGTAATAACGAGCGATACCTGTTGCCATTTACAAATAAAGACGCCGTAGGTACTAAAATCCTCATAATGCAACCTACTTTGGACGACCTGAGAATTGGACCAGTTACCCATTGGAATGGACATCACCTGCGTCCAGCATCTCTCTTGATCTTATCATCGAACTGAGTTTGCTGTTAATTTCACCATTAATTTGTACGAACAAAGAAAAAAATGAACATACTTACTACTTTTATTTAAAAACAGAGTGTGTGACTTTTTATCATTTATTTTACTTACAAATCAATAAGTTAGGTACTAATTTTCTAAGAAATTAAGATGCCCAATTTGTTTATGACTTACAAAAAATGACGCACGAGTCGGGACCGACCTGGGAAATCCATAATTTCCAAGTACTCGCATTATTTATAAATATGAAATAAACTAACGGATTGCCCCGTATCCGTTTGAATATTAATTCGCAACAAAACAGAAAATATCAGTTTAATTTCTTACTTAGCTTTCTTCTCTTTTATTGCGAACTATAGACCTGCTTCAGTATGTAGATATTAGTTGCTACGTCGCGAATTTCCCGACGAATTTTTAAATATTTTCGTATAGAAGAATCCTGCTCTGATTTTTTGTGTTTGACCGAATGCAAAGGAATTAGCTAAATCGGTCCAGACGTTCACACGAGCTGCGATAACCAAGGGAAACCGACAAAATTTTATGTAATATCATTTTATTTGTAATATAAGAGATAGATGTTTGCGCTTTTATTATCTTTATTGCTTATATAGGTACTTAGTATAATTATAAATAATATAGTTATCATTGGTCTGCAGTTGTTTGTACCTAGGGCATCTCGAGAGCAGACGTTTCTGAAGATAATAATACAAATAAGTATTTCAAAATGAGAAATTATGTGATTTTTGTGCTTTCTGTGATATTCTGTAAGTACGCTTTATATTATTAAGTGGTTATAGTATATATTACGATTATTTACTAGAAAAATTAACGGTTATTGAAAATTTTACATTACAACTTAGGTAATTGAGTTTTGTTACGTTTTTGTTTTACACAATCACTACTGAGCGCCCTGATACAATTTAATAAATTATAATAGGTATGTAGGTAATCTCTATAATTTTTAATAAACGTAAAGGCTACTTTTTCCAACGGTAACGTAGACAAAACCGATGGCAAAATTTAGTGTACAATTCGCACCACACAAACGAAAATTTTCATGAATTAAGTTAATGCCATCAAAGTCATTATTTTAGGATTTTTAAATAGTCATGTATATTTACGTTTAGTAACGGTTTTATCTTAACTCGTCGAGTACCGGTTTCGTAGACACAATTATAGAACAATAGGTTGCGGTCACCGGTGACCGCTTGGTGTTTGACAGTTTAAAGGTGCGTATGTAAAGAAATAAATATTTTACATCATATTATATTGAGTTAATTAGAGTGTCTGTTACTTTCATAACTATTTGAGGGTGTTCGGTCAGTTTCAGGTTTCGAACAGAACTCATAAAGCGAAACCGAAATTCACATTTTTTTTTAATTTGCCCCACATTTGGATTTTCTCCTGTGTCGTGGGTGCGTTTCCAAACATACAAGTTCACATACACAATGACACCCAGACACGAAACAATGATTTGTGGATCACTCAAAGTGTTGTTCCGTGCGGGAATCGAACCCGCGACACGTTGCACGGCAGCCGGTTGCCTAGCCACCGCACCAACCGTGCAGTCAAACATTGTACAGCTAACTGCCTCAAGATAGTTTTTATTGAGAGGTCAAGTACTTATTTATTAGATAATGGGGGAAGTATGCAAAATAATGAAAGCTATCGTCAAAACATAATAATTAAATACACCTACTAAGTGATAACGCCGGCAAACGACTATGAACTTTACTTATATCAATAAATGACAAGTGTGATTCACATTTTACAAGTATTTTATGATTAATCTATCATTTATCTCAGTCAGTAGGCAAATGTTTTGCTTGTATAACTACAATTCCTCGAATTCTCTTTGAGTACTTACCGTTATTATAGACACAATTAAAGAACAATACGTTTTTTTTAAGGGGGAATATCATCGAATGACTGCGCTCCCGCCTGGGTGAGGCGAGAGGGCGTGTCAGACTCTTACTGACTAAAAACCACCCTGTTCCTTCTCCTGCACGTCGAGCCGGAGCCCCGGTTACCCGTTAGGTTCTCCGCGCCGAATTAATTATGTATAAATTATGTTATTTATTGTAAGTGGTGTAGGGCGGTAGGATAGTTAATTTTGGCTTTTGGCAAACAGTACTTACTTAATGAAAAATTTAAGATACAGGATTTTAGAACTCGACAAACCCGTTAGTTATATTTCGACTGAGCTGATTGTGACTTCGGCAGTAGTGTTTCGGTAATTAGGTTTTTACCCGAACGTAGGAGGAGTATAATTATTGAATTTCATAGAGGTAATAATGAGTAGTAATAAGTAGATAATAGAGGTTAGAGCAATGTAGATAGAAAAAATACACCACTATAATGGAATTAAAAATTAAGGAGTTACAAAGAAACATTTTTTTTTAAATTTAATGGCGACCCATTAATGTACTTTTAGCCACTATTTCGCCTACTAAGCGATGATATAGCTTACGATGGAGCACGCCTGCCCAGTAACCTACATCCAACGCCTCCGTTAGCCATTATACTATAGTAGTCTTTGGCCTCCGTGCTACCTGTAATGAAACGCACGCAAGTTGGTTAAACACTGACTTTTATTTAAACACCCTCACATACAATTATCACGGAATATTGACATACCGTCACTAATATACTACACTACCATGTAGCATAACCCCATATTTTTACCCCACAGCATCTTCAGAAGCGCCCCCACCGCAAGTCAGCAAGCAATACAGATCAGACTATGAATATAATAGAAAAACCGATGCATTTTACAAACTCCATATTGAAACTACGCCTCACTATCTTGTGGAACAACTGTGTCAAGTGGAAGGAGCCGAACTGATGGTTCCTCGGTCAGACTATGACATAGAACAAATGCATGCTATGTTCAAGAAGTTCCCTGATATTGGGAATTATGTGTGGATCGGCAATGATGGCAGGGATCACGAATCTGCTGAAGAAGAACCGATTATTAATTGTAAGTACTTTTCTATTTATTTATTTATTGATTTATCTATTATGAGATAACTTTGAAACTTTCTTTGGCTTGTAATAGAACTATACATTAACTGAATGAATAAAAATAGCGGGTATAAATTAAAACTCCTCACATGACATAGCTGCGACCGCGCACGTTGCTCATGAGTAAGAACCCCTATATTGTTCGAAACTAGTAGAGCTTTTTTCAGTATATTCACGTGAACTAACTGAATAGATCAAGTTAAAGCATTTTCTTTACTTTTTAATAGTATATGCTAACATCTACTTCAATGGTGATTAATCGAAGCAGGTAATTATCTACAGTTTAGTGATTACTTGATTAACTATGTACGTGATATATTAATAGTGTCTTTGATTATAATATAGTTATGGTTCACTGCCATCGCATCGCATATTAACATGCTTCGTTAACTACAAAATCATTGAGATTATACTTACCTACTAATATTTTAAATTCTAAACCTTATTCAAACTTTCGAGAGACATATTAAATAGTTTTGTTTGTCGTAAAATAACAACTTATATGTTTAAATTAATTATTATGTTTTCGGGTTACTGACGCGGAATTCTGCTCATGAGTACGAGCCTCTTGAGCTCTGAGTCTGGCTTGAAACTACGAGTTCTTCTTCAAACAGTTACGTGTGTGAGCCAATAATTAACGAAAGAGTCTGTTTGTCTTTCTTTCACGTCGTAACTGAGAGATTAACATTATAATCTTAACATCGATCTCATATAACTAGATCGATCCACAGATTTTGTTTTTTTTTATGGTTTAAGACGGTAAACGAGCTAAAGGATCATCTGAAGGTAAGCAATCGACATCGCCCATGGACACCCGGAAAACCAAGGCGTTATAAGTGCGTTACTGGCTTTTCGGGGATTAAAAATTTGAGGATTGTTGGAGATATAGGAATTGGGGAGATTGGGGAGGGTTGTAATTGGGGCTCCGACTATAAACAGCCTGACCGTGACAGGTCCACTGCTGGACATTAAAGAGTAGGGGTAATTAGGTCTCCGGTAACCCCACTCACACGATGTGAAATAATGCAAGCGTTATTTCATGTCGGTTTGAGGGGTTGAGATTCGTTTTTGATTTCGTCCATTATTGATAACATTTTTGTGGTCGAAAAGGGCTAGGAGAGTGGAAAGCCATGTATAGATAGACTAACTATTATTAACATGGAGCCAATTATAAATAATGACATGTTATTTATACGTAGTAACGTCCTAATTTGTAAATTGAGAAGGAACGCGGAAATTGTTAGATAAAAGTGAATTATCAGAGTAAAGTGCTGTCTATGGCAATGATTACCTATAGATATACATATGTATAGATAGACTTATGATAGTTATAATACGGAGCTACGTATTCAACAGAGACAAGGCAGCAGCGCTCTCTTACAAAACTGATTTTTTTCGAATTACGACCTCCAATTTCCTGTCAGGAGTAGAGATTCTGGTAAACCCCTTTTTGGGCCGAGGAGGCCGATAGTCCAGTAGTGGACACTTACGAGCTGTTGATATGCGGTTGGACAAGCGGTTTATATGTTTGAGAAAATCTTATACACCGTCAAGTCTATTTCGTTTTCATCCCGAAGTAAAATGGTTGTCTTGGTAATCATCATCAACAGCCTATAAATGCCCACTGCTGAGCAAAGCCTCTTCTCACACGGAGAAGGTTAGAGCATTAATCACCACGCTTGCTCAATGCGGGTTGGCGATTTCAAACTTATAATTAGAAATTATAAGTTCAGGTTTCCTCACGATGTTTTTCCTTCACCGTTTGTCAGTTTGTCTTGGTAATACAATAGTTTTATAAAGAAATTAAATGTTCACAAAAAAATACTGGTCAATTGCTAAAAGCAAACTTCGACGAATTCATAATACATTATCAAAATATTACGCCATGTAATTCTCGAAGAGGTATTTCTTGTCGGGAGGCACGTGCGATGCAAAAAGTGCCTACAAAACGTCTAGTATTTCATGTGCGACGAATTCGCACGAACGTACTCCAACAATTTTTTTTTAAACTTAAAAAATTATGTCTTTATTTTTATTACATTATACATCGAAGGTACGCCTTATAGTAAGTTGTTTTACCGCGAGATGAAAACAAAATAGATTTCACGGTTTATAGTTAGTGTCAGTAAGAGTAAAGTAGGGTAGTAGGACCTAGTGTAAAGTATACATATATAGCATGTAAACAATGAATGTTAGCAATATATTAATTATAATATTTGACTGCCTCATCGGCCGAGTGGTCGCAAGTGCGACTGCCGGGCAAGGGGTCTCGGGTTCGATTCCCGGGTCGGGCAAAGTATTACTGGGTTTAAAAAAAAAAATCTCAGTAGTAGCACGGAGTCTGGAATTGTGCCCGGTATATGGCAATAGGCTCACCCCCTATTACATGGGACTCATAACATAAATAGTGAAAAGTGGGTGTTACATTGTACAGTGGCATAATGTACACCTCTGCCTACCCCTTCGGGGATAAAAGGCATGATGTTATGATGATGATAATAATATAATCTTGTACTTACAGTGGAAGAACCACCGAACTTCTCCGATAGATTCGGCACCTGCGTGGTTGGTACGCGGACTGGTGACGTGGAGACATCAGTCTGCTACCGAGGGCTGCCGTACATATGTAAGGTGGCTGCAATGGACGCGCCTTACGACCGACACTGCAATGTTTATGGGAAAGGTCAGGAATCTGATAAGAAATAACGATTGATTAGATAGATGTTAAGATTAATAAGTAAAATAATTAGGATAGATGTAAAAACTATTTGCAAAACGTGCCTATATCATACGGTATTAAAGCCTGCTTGCATATTGTAGCTCTAATGGGCTGGCTCGACCGGAGATGTATCACCCGCTCACAGAATTTACAGTTTGTTATGTTCTAACCCTGGTTCGGTTTGATTAAGTCTAATCTTTAATTTAGCTAAATTACCCTAACCTAACTATACCTACTTCACACTAGTTTAGTTTTGAGTAGATAATACTCAATCGTGTTCTAAAAAAACTCGACACTTCAATAATAATATCGTTTCATTACCAGATTACAAATACTATGCGTCAACGGGGAGTTGCTACAAGATCCCTAACATAGCATTCCCTTGGAGTGAAGCTTACTCCGAGTGTCAGGCAGAGGGCGCTCACCTCGTGGTGGTAAACTCCGAAGCCGAGCACTTGGCCATTATGAACCTTACAAGCACTGCACCAAAGGTCCGCAATGCCAAAGCCTCCTACTTCTTATTCGCTGGCTTCAGAGCTGAGAAACCCGTCGGAAACGCTACTGTTGTGTTTAAAACTGTATTCAGTAAGTAGATTTTGTCATTTTATGCATTTAACATCGACATCGGCAGCACGGTTGGTGCATTGGCAAGGCAACAATGAGTTCGATGCCTTGAATTAAAATTACATAGACATACATCATAATTGATTTTTATATTTTAGCCCATTGCTCTACACTTAGGGTTATTTCATCGGGACGTCATGGCGGCGCAATCAGTCAAATAACTCCACCTGGTGAATAACTCTCTATAGAGCTGTATATTTATTACCATTTTGTTGGTAGCGGCGACTGGTTGCGTCGCCATGGTGTCCCAGTGAAATCAGGTTTTAAGTAGATTAAATATGTAACACAATATCCATATTTCGCCAGTTTTTATTGTGAGTAAAAGTTTTTGCCATTTCATCAGACAGAATTATAGATTATGTGCTTAGATTGTGTGGCTTTTAGTAACTTGATTAATTTTCCAGATGAAACTCTATCGCAAGCTGGCTACGAAAACTGGTCGGACAACGAACCCAATAACTCGAATGGCGAGTATTGTGGCTCCATCTTTCTGAACGACGGCAAACTAAACGATCTCCACTGCCATGATTCATTTGGATTCATTTGTGAAAAAGAGGTTTCTTCTTGATATAAATATTTTCTAATACATTGACACTGGATATCGGTTCTTTGTGAAAAAATTGTGAGCTAAGTATCTAATTTAGTTTCTTAATCAGATTTACTTAGGTTACTATTCGAGGGTGCTTAAGTAGTTTGACATGACAGAGCGGTATACGCGCCGACTGGCATGATTTTGCGCCCCGGCTGGAGCTAGAATCTAACCGAGCACCCTCGAACAGTTACGGGAGTAAGCCATTATTATGCAATTAATTTAGAACAACGGTTGTTTGAAATATCGAATTATCATTCGATTGCTTGACGAGAATATAATTTTAAGATGTGATTAGCTTATCGTAAATTATTAAAAATTAGTTTAAATGGGTCAAGAGTTCATGGACATTTGGTACCTATTAAGATTTTTTTTTTTTATATAGCTCCATTAACCGTCACTTAAGTAAATTAGCAGTTGACTAAGAACTTAAATTATCTAGTTAGATATTCGCATAAGTTATATTATATTAATGTTTTTTCTTTTGACACTGGGCGAAGGCACGGAGTGTAGCTAGTATCTATTAAAGTTAATAAATTATTTTATATTAATAAGACTGTTAGTTTTAAATCCAAAATTTTATAAAAACATTATTAAAATTGATTTACGAAAGAGTACATTTTTCATTTGATACCTAGTATATGTACACCTTCTTTTTTTGATAATGGGAGGACGCCCTCAAAAGGCGCCTAGCTTTTGGGAAGAAAACTAAGGGAGTGCGGCATTCGTACCTTATTAGAACCACCCGCGTGGCCACCCTCAGCATCTGTAAAGGGCACCGGATCTCTGAAAAGACCTGCTCCGGAGCCCTTACGGTGCAACGCCTGTGGCCACTGTGCTGCCGTCTTCCCTGAGGCCACTGGATGGGCACCTAGAGTCTCCACTCTATGCACCAATGGGGCACCTAGTATATACCTTATCATCAAAAAACAGGACTCCTCCTCATCCCTTACTTCGTGTTATCACTGTCAAGAACTGTTCGGAACATGAAAAGACATACATACATAACATCACGCCTTTTATTCCCGAAGGGATAGGCACAGGTATACATTACGGAATTTAATGCCACTGTATATAGCACCCACTTTTCACTATTTATGTTATGAGTCCCATGTAATAGGGGGTGAGCCTATTACCATATACCGGGCACATTTCCAGTCTCCATAGTACTACTGAGATTTTTTTTAAACCCATTAATACTTTGCCCAACATGGGAATCGAACCCGAGACCCCTTGTCCGGCTGTCACACTTGCGACCACTCGGCCAACGAGGCAGGGTAACATGAACAGAATTAATATAAAATAGTTGAGAATGTGAACCTATTGACCCTCAACTTAGCGGCTGTTTCACTACCTTCATATAAGTACGTGATAAACTTATCTGACAGATAGTTCAAACAAAATAAGTTCATAATTATTTGGTACATAGCAGCTATGTAGATATAAACAGGCTCAAAATCTGGTTAAGACTTAGGTACTACCAACATCAAAATTGAGGACAAATCGAGAGAAAGCAATGGGGAAATATAAAACGAGCATATGGTATCTTAATTTGCCATAAATTCATGTCACTTTCAACATCAACAACCTATAAATTACCACTACTGAACAAAGGCTCTTCTCACACGGATATGGTTTAAGCATCACGCTTGGTCAATGCGGGTTAGTGATTTCAAACTTATAATTAGAAATTATAAGCCCATGGTTCCTCACGATGTTTTCCTTCACCGTTTATCAGTGGTGTCTAAATAATCTTAGAATGTACATATAACTCGGAAAAAGTCAAATTGGTACTTGCCGTCGCGTTGGTAGGTTTCCAACCGGCACCCTCATTCATGAGAAGCGGATATCTTAAACCTCCGGGCCATCATGACGTCATGACACTTTATAAGTTACTAGCAGCCCGTCCCGGCTTCGCACGGGGTAGATAATTATTTATTTTTGGAAATTTGGATTGTTGTAGTGGCATAACTACAGTAGTTGGACATATGCTACCGCGGAGTTTTTTGAAGACATTATGATGTTCTTCAATATTGTTGTACATTATTTTGTTCTATCACTAATAGTTTCGGCAGCGCATTCGACGAAAGACATTTTAAGACTCATCTTTCTACACCTTCGGTTACATTGTTTAAATTTTACAAAGGATCCCTAATTTTTTCAAAATGAAATGTAGCCTATGTCAAATTGGAAGAATGTAGCATTCTACCTCTATTGGTTAAAGAATTTTTAAATCGGCCCAGTACTTTTTGAGCCTATTCATTACAAACATACAAAAATAGGTACAAATCTTTCCTCTTATAAATAAGTATAAATATAAAATATAATATTAGTATAGATGACTTATTCCTTTATTTTACTGAATAAATCAATGTTCGTAACCTTCAACATTTACTGCCTATTTTGAAAGCTAGAAATAACAATGCTGACCCTAAATTCAAAAATAACATTTTATCTTTAGCTATTAAATCATTAATTATCATGTTCACATAACAATTTCATTTACGAATGTTATTCATGAAAAGCCAGCCATTGTGCTCAGTAAGCATTGTGAAAGAAAATCTCACAGGCATAAATGAAAAAATAAGTTTTCACGAATGAAAGGCAAATATTATAATGACTATTATCCTAACAGAACTTCAGATCACAGAGTATCGTCTAACGTACGTAGGTACAAATTTCGAGCAATTTTACGGGCGTAAAAACTAAATTATTATTTTGATGAAATCGGTTCCAGAATACGATCCAATAATGTATTCCCTAATATATAAAACGTATGGCAATAAGAATTGAATTGGAACCAATTTGGAATATTGAAAATTAAAGCGAAAACTGAAGAGTAATTTCGTTCAGAAGAGACGCCTACGAGTTTATTTCTGGAATAGTCGAGCCCTTAACGACCTATTAACGAGCCAGAAACATGTTGGAACATGCACATGTTTTGAACCATACACAGAAAATCCATCATGGTCGCATAACTCGACTGGTCCATTAACAGTCGGCGGGCCGTCCTAATTGAACCACTCTAAACAGTTAATCTTTCGTCGTGTCGTCTAAATAAGATTTAAAGTTAGCTGGACCCTTGTAATTTCCTTTATGTTGGCGGTAAATTGAAACATATACACGCACGTACATACATAACAAGCCGTGCTCCGAATGTGGGGGCTTAATTTAATTTCTCAGCCCCCAGTGAACGTTACACAAATTTAGAAAAGTTTGGCTCTTAATTATATAAAGATTATACCAGAATATCAGTGAATGTTGTACAGTGGGGTGGGATGGGCTAATTAATTTTATGCTGTACCTTTAAACAAATAATTTTGGTACCTTTTCCGAAAGTTATCTAATTTCATACTGATGTTGGCGAGGGCATAGCATAAAAACTCGAAAATTAAAATGGTAAAAGTTTTTTGTTCCGGCTCACCAAACCATAAAACAAAAACATAATTAAACTAGCTGTTACCCGCGACTTCGTTCGCGTGAAATTATTCATTTTTCTTGTTAATTTATACTTTTTTGACGCGACAACGTGTTGATTGGCGAGGCGTATTTGAGAGCTAGTATGAAACGGAACATTTATTGTTTACTCAAGATGGCGACTGCGGTTTGCGGTCATTGAAATGAATTAATAAATCGAAATAATCTCCGTAATCTGAGTTTTGCGGATATCTGTTGTCGACTCGAAATCGATATTATTTTATGTTTTGTTATTCAGGTAATGTTTCGATCGAGTCAACCGTACCTTTTAACGAAATTATTAATATAGATTATTGGTTTCCTGGGACATTAATTTATAATTCCTTATAAACAGATCTTAGAACGAATTAAAAATGTCCAGGTTTTCAACAAAAACTTCTCCTATTTTGTGGAAAATATACTATTAAGAGTTGTCATCCTTTTTGTGGCTTGTGTGTTGAGTCGGGAAATCGTTTCTTTCATGACGTGTAGGTCGAGGGCCGATGTGACATGTTCCCGGAGTAAATCGTCTGTCATATGAACACTTGAGAGATAAGATGCTGATCACGCACCGCCAGGAGATGAGTTATAGTAGTCACGATGACATGGAACAATATGAACATTGAACAACTATTGTGATGTTAGACGAATAGTTTTTCCGTCAGCTTTTCCTTTTGTGTGTCTGGAGATTTAGTATTGTTAAAATTATTTTTCTGTGAAGTGATATAGAGAATATTGTATCATAGCGATAAATTTTTCACCCAAAAACATAAATATGTTTTATACTAAAGTAACTTCGTAATTTAAATGGAGAGAATATATTTTTTTATGATTAGGTAGGTATATATGACGATAATGATTTTTTATATATTAATAATAAATTTTATTTCTCCACGGAATTGCGTCATGCTCTTGTCATATTGCAGTTACATTGTTTTCATGGTCAAATTGTTGTTACCATAATGTTAGCTACGTTAATATTAATAATACGCGTCGTGCTTTTTGCTATAATCAGTCGCGGTTCAAAAGTTTTAAAGCCTGGGCCTGTCATCATAATATACCCAGACAATCAGCTACCTCTATTTTAATTATTACAAAAAATAACAAAAGTCACTATTTCACCGAGACCCTCAATTTGCGAGTAACCGGAGGGCGAAATTCGCTTCACTCCACAAAAACGGAAGGTGTTACAATAAGCGCCGTTATAGGAAATACTTGGGGTATTTACCCAGATTGTATCATCCGACGTATGTTGACCCCTAGATATTGTTTGGTGCTCGACACTGTTGGACTATGAAGGGGTCACGATTCGTTGGTTGTGTTATAATGATTTCCTCGACACAATAGGGCAGCGGAGCGGTTTGCCGTTCTAATTATCGTTGTTAAGAGTTTCACTCAGTCATAAGCTGGAGTTTCATTCAACAATGGTGACACGTTTCGTTTTCATTGTTCGTTAATACGGCCGCAAACTTCGACTTGATTAAGATGGGCGCCGTGCACACCGTACCGTAAAGTTGGAACGCTACGAACGTTAATGAGAGTCGCCGAGCGTCGTGGAGAGCCTCCGACTGTTAAAGTTCTAGTTATTAATACATAGAGTTTTCTCAAGTTCGTTTATGTCCCGGGACCGTGCAGTTAGTATGATAACGGCTTTCGGAACGACGGAGGTAATGTGATTTTCTCATTTCACGGTTCGCTGTTCTAATTTACTGTGTAACAGGTAGCCATATATTGTGAATAATAATGCGTTCATTGTAAGGTTGTGAATAAAAACGTTATTTCTTCGTCGACGAGTCGCAATTATTATTATTATATAAAACATACAAGTTTACATATACTTTACAAATTGTGCATCACTCAAAGAGTTGCTCGTTAGAGCCTAATCCCTCATCTATAATAGGTATAATTAATTGCCTTACGAAAAAAAAAATCCTGTTATCATACTATTTCCGAAACAATATTTGCTACAAAACACGAAAGGTCGGCACTAGTCTTACTTTGTCAGATCGGGCTCTCGAACTGTTCGCATTTTTGGGGTAAAAATAATTAGAAACATTTTATTTTCTCTGAGATGGTGTGAGTAAATAAGCTAAACTTCTAATAAAAAATACAAA